TATGTAGGCAAAAAGCACAATAATGTGATCGCGTTTACGCTAAGCATCATGCAAGTTTTTTATGAACATCCCGTTTAGATCTGCGTCCAGTGAGGGTCGTGGTTCAAGAGTTGACGACACTTTGATTGATCTTCTGATGCGTGCTCAAAGCCAACGTATGAATGAGCAGCGTTCCGAATTGGCGTCTGTTCGGAAAAGCTCCATCAGCTCAGGTACGTCCAGTGTTTCTTGCTTACCGCGGAGAAACTATGTGGTTCCAGAGGACAAAGCGACAGCCACCACTCCTGAAGACGACGTGTCTGCCTTGGTCATGCGCATGCAGGCTGGGCGTTTTGAGGAGCAGCGTGCTCATCTACACACTCAAAATGAAAATGCTTGAATTTCGTTAGGCACCATTTTTCCGGCGCTTTCACTGCTGTCTCCCAGTATTAACGATTCTGATGTAAAAATTTCTTTCTTGTCCGGTTGTCTCGTGTACAGATTGCCTCTTTTTGATATCCTACGACAATTACATGCACATGTCAGCTAACTAATTAGGTTCCCTCGCAACTCATCAGTTATCATGTCACAACTCTAACCATTATGAGCTATTGGCTTGTATCAGTATCATTTGTATTTCATTTCGGTTGGAAACCCATAAAGTGCATGTGATCTGGAGCATATAAATGTTCGATCGTTATCGAATTTTATGTTGCACAGTGGCATTCCAAACATGTTCTGGATAAGATCGCATAATTTTGAGGTAGATTCGCGTGGTATTGAAAAGTTTTGTGCAAATTTTTGAGGTAAGCAGTCGTTGGATGGAGGTGACTGATGTGATTCGAGCAGTCTGCGCTGTACATGACATCTCGACCTCGAATCAGGACCGAATCAAGTTCACACAGGTTGGGTTATAGCTAGAATGAATTATCAACTCTCCTTGCTTTCTGGCAATTTTGGTCGAATGCCTTTTTGTAATCGTTGAGACGAACATCGTCCATTCTTGTCAACGTCAATCAGGTCTATTCGTGGTTACCAAGAGGAAATGTCCTGCTGAATTTCCGACTGCACCTTCTACTTTTTCCTAGCGTTTCTATCTAGCTGTAGTTGACAAGTGCTGCTGTTGGGCACACTTCTATCCTTCCATGCGCCCACAGTTTGATTTGGATTGGCTGACGCTTATGCTTGAAGGCTCCGTCCATCCCAAGTTGGGGGGTCTTGAGTTTCTGGCATAAACAGTAGGACCTTCTAATCAAGCTAATGCCCATGTTGCGGTTCAGAACGTCGCCTTGGAGGCGAGAAAATCGCTTCGGAATAGCGAAGA